ATCAATCACGAATACAAACGAGTTGCGAAAAGGTGCTTTCTTCAGTATCGACGTGGATTGCAGAGAAATCTTAAGTCACGTCCCAAGCAGTGTTTGAAGTTTTTCAACGAACAACATCATGAAGCTATGATAGATAATGGTAACGTGGCCTCATCTACGCAAGATATCTGTCAGCTGTTCTCTGAAAAAATTGCTAATGTCTTCACGGACGAGAGACTGAGTGACGACTATGCCCGACTGGCTGCCAGTTATGTACCACTCTCGGTCAAAGCATGAGCAAAATTGATATCAATCCCGAGTTTTCCAGGGCTTCCTCGAAACTCAAGCCGTCGTACAATCCGGATCCTGACGGAATTCCATCGGCGTTCCTCAAAACGCACTTGGACAGTTTGTTGTCTCCACTGCTGCACGTTTTCAAACGGTCCGTGGACGTCGGCGTTTTCCCATCTTGTTGGAAGCTGGCGCACATGTTTCCAGTACACAAGAAAGGCAACAAACAGGACATTGGCAACTACCGTGGCATAACTTCGCTTAGCGATGTTACTGGATTGTTCGAACTCTTTGTTATGGAACCATTACTCGCTCACTGTAAGCCGTATATTAGTATCAACCAGCATGGTTTCATGGCTGGTCGCTACACTGCCACTAACTTGCTGTGCCTTACTTCCTACATCTCTAACAGTATGTCAGATCGTGCTCAGACGGATGTCATTTATACTGACTTATCTGCTGCCTTCGATAAATTGAATCATCGCATATCAATCGCTAAACTGGACAGGCTTGGTATCCACAGCTACCTTTTACAATGGTTTCAGTCGTACCTCACCGATCGCTATCTTACTGTTGTCATTGGTGATCACCAGTCCCGTACGTTCGCTGCCACATCAGGCATACCTCAGGGTAGTCACCTGGGACCGCTGATTGTCCTGATTTACCTCAACTGCGTGAATCTGGTAATTGAGGGACCACGATTAACTTACGCAGATGACCTTAAACTCTTCCTTTGAATTCACTCAATTGAAGACTGTTGCTTCCTTCAACGTCAGTTGAATGCTTTTGGTGATTGGTGTATTCTGAATCATTTGGAAGTTAACCCGTCCAAATGCTCTGTTATCTCTTTTTACGCGCAGGAAAGTGAATATTATGTTCAAGTATGTTTTGTTATGCACTGAAATTGAGTGCGTCAACCAAATTAAGGACCTGAAGTGATTCTGGATACACAACTCTCTTTCAAGCAGCACATCTTGTATGCAGTCAACAAACCTTCCAGAATTCTAGGGTTTATCTTCAGGATTGCCAAAGACTTCACGGATATCTACTGCCTTAAATCGTTGTACTGCTCCTTGTCTCGCTCCATATTAGAATACTACTCGGTTGTCTGGACTCTTCACTACATCAAAGGTGTCGAAAGAGTTGAGTCTGTTCCCTTCCGATTGCCTAGCTACGAAAGTCGTTTGCAACTGATCCATCTGGAGCCCCTGTCGGTCCGAAGAGATACAGCAAGAGCATTGTTAATTGCAGATATTTTGCAAGGACGCACCGATTGCCCTGTTCTCCTTGAGCAAATTGACATCAATGTTCAACCCAAAGCCCTATGGAATAATTCAATGCTGCGCCTGCCCATATCGATGGTTTACAGAGACTCTTCAATAGGGTCTCGGCACTATTTAACTTTGACCTGACTCACCGGAGATTTAGTTTATTTTTTTTTTCTAGATCAGTTTGGTTTGTATAGCAATGTTCCTTTTTTACGAGATGCCTATTGAATTATTGATATTTAGTTTTAATACTTTTCATGTTCAGTTTAGGGCCATTAGGGCCAATGCCGCCTGTTGATGTTTAGTCATAAATTAATAAATAAATCAATCAAACATTACTGAATGCAGAAGACGATTATTCTCAAAGAACAGTTTATTAAAAAAAAAATCGAAAATTTTGGATGATCTCACTATAAAAAATCCTTACATCGAGACGTAGCTAATTTCTAGTTTCTCATCTGAATATAACAATAATCACGCATGCGTCATGTTCAGTGTGTTTGCATGGACATGTTGATTTTTCCAAAGAATATCAAGAATGTTCTCCAAGAACAGCTCAAGAGGGAAAATATGACAGACTTTTCATTTTATTATGGATTGTGCCTATCGTCAATTATATCTGACGTCCATTATGCCTAACATCCATTATGCCAGCCATTGATTATGTGCACCGTTTAATGACGTGATGCGATTTATTAATTTAATATTATCAGCCTAGTTTTTAATATGGGAGACGAACCAGCCCAGGACTGAAAGTCTCCTTAATAAAGATATATAATAAAAGTTTCTATTAATCGGCTTACGTCACTTTAAGATGTCTGTATGTAGCATTTATGACAAAGATGATGAATCATCTGGTCAAATAGTATAATTAAATGAATTTCAGACTTGACCTATACCAATTTTTAATTAATTATAATGAACTTTTAACAGTGTCCGTATTTCGGTTCATTTCGGTATTATGGTGAGCGCTGGATGTAATAATGAATTACAAAAAAAAAACTACAATGGACAGCCCTATGGGGTGGAACGCAATGGTGACGTAGGACTACGTGGTCTTTTAAAATAAATCTTATTTGTTAACTGCAGCAGAAGCTTGTGTTTTGGTTAGGAATAGGAATTCGAGTGGGGTTATCTCTGTTTTTACTCTTTAGTATGACGCGCTTGACATAGATGGCCCACAGCAACTCACGATTTTCGCAGGCAATCTATTTATTTATTTATTTATTTCGTCAACCAACGTAGACTAGTACAACTAATACAGTTTTGTTTTCTTAAATATATATTTATATAAAAAAAGTAGTGTCAGCTTTCTTCTCTTTTCTTTTATGAGTTGTTATTTCTTATGGAATAAAAATATTGCTTTAGTTTATGCCGAGACATTGTAAAGTCAATGGTTTCGCAGTGTTTATTGTAAGAGGCCATCATGCGGTTTAATGGCCCATATTTTGCATAATTTGTGCGATGATGTTTTATGGCAAATAAATTTCGATTTCGGAGTTGCCGAGTGGGTGCATGGAAATTTAATTTTGATAAAAGTTCTGTTGAGTCAATTCGCTGCGAAACGATATCATTTACAAATGAAACCATTGCATATTCACGACGCTCTTTTAATGTTTGTATGTTTATAAGCATGCAGCGTGCTTCATATGATGGAAGAGGAAATGAAGTCCAACCTAATTTACGAAGAGCGTATAATATAAATTGTTTTGTACTGTTTCTAATCTTTCTTCGTGCGTGATTGAAAATGGAGACCATACAATGCTGCAATATTCCAGTATTGACCTCACATAGGCAATATATAGTGTTTTAATTGTGTAAGGGTCCTGAAAGTTATAGCAAAAGCGCTTGATAAAGCCTAGCATGTTATTTGCCCTGTGAATAATTGTATTGTAATGGTCTATGAAAGTTAGCTTAGAGTCTAAGATAATTCCTAAATCCCTAACTCTTTCACATTTGTCTACAGTTTGATTTCCTAATGCAATTGAAATGTTTGAAGTTGTTCTTTTTCTACTAAATGATATTAAGTTACATTTTTTACATTCAATTCTAGTAGACTTTTTTTGCACCATATGTAGAATATGTGTATTTCATTCCGGAATATATTGATGTCTTCTTCATTTCTTATTTCCAAAAAGAGCTTCATGTCGTCGGCATAAATAAGCAATTTAAGTTTTTTGAGAATGTAAGATATGTCGTTTACGTATAGAATAAAAAGGAGAGGTCCCAAATGAGAGCCTTGGGGGACGTCTGAAGTGACTTGAATTGGGCTCGATTTCTTTCCGTTGAATTTAATTATTTGTTGGCGGTTAGTTAAATATGATTCAAGCCATTTCAGGAGCCCTGACTTAATTCCAATTTTTTGCAGTTTAAAGAGTAACATTGGTATGTCAATGCGGTCAAATGCCTTGCTAAAGTCTGTATAGAGAGCTTCCATTATCCATTGCATTCAATGAATAGTCTATAAATTCAAGTAAGTTGGTCGAGGTCGAACGACCCTTGAAAAAGCCGTGTTGCATGTCAGTAATTCTATTTTTGATTTGGAGAAATAATTTTTCGTTGATAATTGACTCGAAAAGCTTAGGAATGCAAGAGATAATGGCTATACCACGATAATTACGTACGTCAGATTTTCGACCAGATTTGAAGATAGGTACTAGAAATTAGCTTTTCCAAATTTTAGGGAAGGTTCCGGATTCCAGGGACATATTAAAAAGCCAAAACAATGGAGCAGTGAGTTCCATTGCTAGACATTTAATAAATACTGGAGGAATTCCGTCAGGTCCAGGACCTTTTGAGGCATCTAAATTTTTTAAAGCCTGCAAAATGTCCTGCACTTGAATCGGTGATAATATTAATTATCAAAGCAACAGTGGCCATTCGTGCAATTTTCAATAGGGACATTTTGAAAAATGATAAAGTCTTAAATTTAACAGATGCGTCGAAATATATCTGATCGATTTATGATAAAATTATTGAAATTGGTCCAAGGGCAGCTAAGTTATTAACGTTCAAAATCTTTCATAATTTTGTTACATGTTCCATTTTCGGTTTTGGCAAAGTGAACTCCCATATAGAAAACACAGACGTAGTCCGACGTAAAAAAAAAATGAGATTAATAAACGTTTTATATTCGGTGCACAACGGAATGTTCAGAACAGACTTCCAAACGACATAGCCCACACTCATAATCCTTGTTCTATTGCTTTAATGGAAAACGAATAACTGATGATTGGGTGTCGAGTACTGCTATAGTGGATTGCGCTGATTATGTTGATCTTAAACTGACGTTAAGTCCCACACATTCCAATATGCTGCTCAAAAAGCTTTAACCGCAGAGAAGCGGGTGTTCTACCGCCTTTCCAACCTTCACCATCATCAGCCATCACTTATTCCACTACGGTTTACTTTGCAAGCCCCAAGAACCCACTCGAGAAAAATTGTGTCGGAAAATTCGCTTACATCTTCGGTCCCTGCTGGTAGCTAAATTCGAGAGTGCTCTCGATTTTCTAACTTCACTTGAGGCAACATCACCACTTGACCAAATTGCTATCGTCACCAGTATTTTCAGCGATAGCATTTTTTTGTTTGTCGATTTTTCTCTTGAGTAGCACAAACACACAGTTTTTCGTTATTACTGGATTGACGGGCACTTCTAACGATATTAAATTCGGCACGGTCTCATGTTTTCACGTCAGTCTGTGACAAGTGCCTGACATGAGTGAAAAGTGGAGGGTAAACGACTTTATAGGAGCACGTCCGAAGATCGAATGGTGCGAAATAAACCGTTGGAGCTATGTAAAAACAATCATATTTATAATTTATGATGGCACCTCCACAAGCAGCGTGCGCTTCTACTGGGGATGGGTGTGATGTGATGATGTACTTTTTTCCGCTATGTTGGGCTTTTGTTTTTGTTCCTATGATGTCACACTGGATAACTTTTGATTTCAACGAATTGCTGATGTTATAAATGTACCACCATAGAAATTTCTTCTTCTGCTTCTTCCACCTAACCTTACAATGCCATGGCATAAACAAGATCAATATTTGATTTCCATACTATCTTAGTAAGGAGGAAATTAATAAAAGACACATATACTTATTTATCTTCGATGAACTATCCAACTGTTTCCAATGAAAACCAAAAACTGAATTACCAACCAACCAAATAACTTCATAACCAATTAAACTAAAAGAAAGAGGGAAATGAAATACTAATAAATCAGAATTGAAATTAAGCGTTTGGTGGATTAAACAAAAATCACGTGTTACCAAAAATGCAAAGGCTCTTTTATAATTTTTTTTTCACTTTATTTAGTTCTGGATTTTTTTTTGTCGCAAAGACAGTTGGAATCAAATTATTTACTATTAACTATTAAATTTTATTCAAGAAAATATCATTACCACCCCCAATCATATTGTAAGCAACTAATCTTAACATACAGACTAAGGCCTGGGTGGCCTTTGCTGTACAGTGTGACCCCACCTATCTTCGTACACAGATCATGGATGACCCCTCACTGATGCTTATGTGAGCAAAACGTGAACAATCATTAGTTAAATCAAATATAATGCAGCATTAAAAATATTGGACACCTTCTGATGAAATGATATCAAGATTTTACTTGAGGTCTTTTACCGAGTGGCAGCTGAAACGGGTATTATAATGTTAAATTTCACCCCGTTGATCAATTTATATCCAATCTAATACCAATCGTGGACTTTCATTGTTCTTGATTCAAACGTCTGGAAAGGGAGCGCTCTCAGTGTAACTTGTTATTTATTGGTATGGCAACATAAACAATAATTCCATTTACCAGCTTACATTATATCAATGCATTTGTTTGCATAATCCGTACTTACAGATTATGTGATTGGCGGCTTTGATCAAATGGTGTGTCATGTTGCTCTACCCCCCATTGTTTTGTTTTCCTTTGCAGAAAAGTTAATTTCTTCCAATGACTTGCATTGTATTACAAAACCGTTCTACAGTGGTAAGCATAAAGTAACATCAGGGGAAAGTTAAAGCATAAGGTACTCATGGATGGGAATAAGATAATAGTGGAGATATTTATGTAACAAAGAGAATACATGTAAATTCACAACAGTACTGTCACTCTTATCTAATTTGGTTCGTCCTTGATTGAAAAAGAGCTGCTAGAGCCCACAAAAAGCATTCGAACTATTTCCTTCCAAGCATGACGTCAAGTTCAATTGTTGGTATGTTGTATAATATATAATATTCATATGTCTCTTTCAGAGTGGAACATTCGAAATTTATAGAATTCGTCAAGCGCTCATTAGGTGTATATTTGGTTGAGCATTGTTGTTAAACTTGAATTTAGTAGGACACATAACTCATGTAATCAAAGCGAAAATGTGTCAAAGCATTTTTCCTGCTATTTGAACCATAAAGAACAACGAGTTCAACGAAACAGAAAGTATGGAAATAATTCACTTGGCTCATGGTTGGATTAAGCAACAAATTCCGATTGTAGCTGTTACTCGGAGCAAACCAGATTGAATATGTGTAATTACCGTAAAATATTCTATTCTAAAACAATGCTCATCTCATATGACAGTCATCCAAGCTCATGAGTGCACCGGATAGTGAAAGTTGCGGAACTACGCTGCAGCTGCTACGAGATGATTAGCAGTCCAGTTTCAGTTTCACCGATAGCACAATACTTTTGGACACCCTTATAGTACCTACGGAAGCAGGGAAAATATCGATTAACTCCGCTGTTGGTGAAATCTCATCCCTATGGCACCAGCGTTTGTCTTCTGGAGCGAACGAAAACATGCTCCACCACTTCGTGGTCGATGAATTATATATGAACGACACATTTCACGCCTCGGTGACAGTGATTAAACTTGTGTCAACTCGCGTGATGCTTGACATCTTTTGGAGATAATGGTTGCCACATGCCATGGTGTGCAGTGTAGTCTCTATTATACAGCAACAATTGAACGCTTCAGTTGCTAGTTAAGATAGTCGTCAGAGTGTTCCGTAGCATTCATTATTAGATATGTTTGGTACCTATCCAGGCGGTTATCAAAAAAATGGTTTTATGTTGCAAAAGTATACACATAGCGTACATTTAGACGAACATCAAACTGCTTTGCACCAAAATATGCTGTTTTTTTTAGCAAGATATAAAAATTATATAAATTTGAACACCGGATTGTTCTTCAGGGAATCTAAATGAAGGATACATAAAAACTTATGAATATTGCTTTGCATCAAAACCAGCTTGATCAATATCCCCCAGAATCAAAATTGATGTACAGTGAACTCTATACATATTTTTTTACCCAAAGGTGATGTCTGAACAACAGCCTCCTTCACCCCTGCCCACCCCCTTTTCCACACTATCGCCCCCTCGTCAACCTGTTCCCCCTACTCCAACCATTCCCTTGAAAATTGCTGCGACCCCCGCCATAAAGCTTACCCAAGCGGCTCAATAGGTCCGTGGGTTGTTTTTTTCCGGCCCAAACAAAAACCTTTGAATATTTCTCGGATTTCGAAGGATCTGACAAAACATTTTTCGGCCGTAACCGATATCTTTAAGGTGACGTCAAACAAACTGCGCGTTCCCGTTGATGACCTGAAACAGGCAAATCGGATTGTTGCCTGTCAATCGAATATCGAGTCTACGTCCCCAGTTGTGACGTAGAAATTGAAGGAGTGGTCACCGAATCGAGTCTGACTTGTTTGGATTTCCTACAAGTCAAATCTTTCAGCATTTTCAAAAACCGTGCCCTCCCGAAACTCAAGATACTGGACTGCATCCAACTGCAGTCAGTGTCGCTCATAGGCACAAACAAAAAGTATACCCTCTCATATTCGTGTCGTGTGACCTTTTCAGGATCGGCATTACCTGACTACGTCACAATTGGGAAGGTTCGACTACCTGTACGCTTGTTTGTACCGAGAGTAATGAATTGCTTCAAATGCAAACAACTAGGTCACACCGCGGACTTTTGTTCCAACAAACCACGGTGCGATCAATGGGGGAGGAGCATACGGAGGGTCCTTGTCATGCTACCCCAAAATGCGTTTACTGTAAGGATGCTCCGCATGCTCTGAGTGATTGCCCGAAGTACAAACAGCAGGGAGAAAAACTAAAGCGGTCTTTGCAAGCTCGCTCTAAGCGCTCGTTAGCAGAAATTTTGAAAACGACCGCTTCATCTTCCCAAACCACCCCAAAAAGCAACAACACATTCCACCTCCTGCCAGATGATGATCAGGGCTCTGACTCAGAGGTTGGTGAAAGTAGTTCTTTTGTCTTTAACGGCAACACGAGGAAGCAGTCCAAAACAAACGTCACCCAAAAACCTCGTAAGGTCTCTAGTACGGACTCTCAACTTACCTTGAAAAATTGAAGTGGTAGTGGAAATGTAGCAAAACCCTCACCACCGGGATTTAAAGTTTGTAATTTTAACAAAGACTTTCCGCCACTTCCGCGATCATCCCAGATATTCCAGTTTTTCAGCCAGAAAAACAACTGAATAACCAGCAAGATGCAAGCATGATGCCATGTTCACGTTTTCTGGAATTGTGGAGAGCATCTTCAATATATTCAACGTCTCTGGCTCAACTAGGAACATTATTAATTTAGTGCTTCCATTTGTGAAAACTCTTTTGAAGCAACTAGCTTTCTAGGTGGTCCTTCCTTGCGTCGATCATATCCTTTGATGGATAATTTTCCGAATGAGGTCGGGGATATGATCTCTGTTCTTCAGTGGAACTGTAGAAGTCTGATGCCGAAACTTGACACATTAAAATTTTTACTTCACAACTCACTTTGTGATGCATTTGCTCTTTGTGAAACATGGCTTTCTTCAGACACCGATCTCCCTTTCCACGATTTTAACATTATTCGCCTAGATCGTGCTTCTCGGGATTAATAAGCTCCATTCCTTCTAAAGAATCGATCTGCCTTGCGTAACGGGCATTGAAGTTGTCGCATGTCAGGTAAATATCCGAGGTAAAAGCCTCAGTATTGCCTCAGCCATCTTCCTCCAAGAACTGCGATTTCTCGCCAAGGTTTCTCTGATATCTGCTCAGCTTTATCTGAGCCTCGGTTGATCTTAGGAGATTTTAACTCTCATGGTACAGGCTGGGGGGCGGGAACTGTACGACGACAACCGCTCAACGTTGATATACGACATGTGCGACATCTTCAAAATGACAATTCTGAACACTGGGGAAGTAACACGAGTGGCCAAACCTCCAGTAAGAGAAAGTAGATCAGACCTCTCCCTCAGTTCGAGTTCACTATCGTTGGATTGCTCGTCGAAAGTAATTCAAGATCCCTACGGTAGTGACCACTTGCCAATCAAAATTTCTATTACCAATGGTTCATCTTCCACTCGCTCGGTTGACATCGCGTACGACCTCACGAAAAACATCTACTGGCAACAATTTGCGGCCGCGGTTCTCGGTGGTACTGATTCGGTTGAGATACTCCCTCCGCTGGATGAGTACTCCTTTTAATCGTGACTTATCGTTGACTGTGTTCTTCAAGCACAGACGAAACGCGTTCCGGGTGTTTCCGTTCGCAAATGACCTCTCACTCCGTGGTGGGATAAGGATTGCACCAACGCGAACAGCGAGAAGTCCGCCGCGTTTAAACGCTTCCACAAACACGGTAAGGTCGAGGATTTCGAGCGGTACACCGACCTCGAGAAAACTTTTAAGGGCTTTTTTTTTTTTTTTTTTCCTTTGGTTTGTTTTTTCCG